CTCCTAAAGGATTCTTTTAGCTTAAGTTCGATGCTTGCTATTTCTCTGACCAGTGTCTCCCTGCGCATTTCAGATATATTGACCTCTTTTAGCCGCTCTGTAATTCTTTTCCGTCGCCTGTAAAGGGAGCGCCTGTCTCTTTCTATTTTACATCTACTCCTCCTTTTTCTTAGAGGAATAAGCCTTGTGCATAAATCGAGTGCCACCAAGTTAATCTGTTCTAGGCATAAGTTGGGGTCTGTGTTGCTTAGTATATCTTCCCAGCTTATATCGGTTAGGACTTGGTTTACTTGGTCCCACTTTATGTTTTTGTTATTGAAGTTGAATTTGGTGAATGCTCCCTCGTGACTAGTCTCATTTTGTCGGTCTGGGGCTCCTCGCATACATGTCTGAACCTCAATTATGTTGTGATCTGAGTATATTGTTTTTGATATGGTGACATTTCTTATCAGATCATCATTGTTAGTGAATATGAGGTCTAGTGTATTCTCCAGTCTAGTAGGCTCTATTATTTGCTGGTTTAAATTGAATTTTGTGCAGAGATTTAAAGCTCGTGTGAGTGTGAGTTTTCATCAGAGCTGCCTCCTGGTGTTATTTCTGCAACAATATTATTTGCTATATTCCTCCATTTTAGGTGCCTTAAGTTGAAATCCCCCAGGAGCAAGATGTTGGGTGCAGGAGCTGGAAGATTTTCCAGACAGTGGTCAAATTTTTAACAGCTGTTCCTGGAATTGCTGGGATGTTGCATCCGGAGGCTTGTAGACTACCACAATGACTAGGTTTTGGTTTCTCGACCTTTACTGCCTAAAACTTCCACTACGTCATTTGAGGCATTAAGCAGTTCTGTGCAAACAAGTGACTCTGCAATGTACAGGCCAACATTCCCCTTTTGCCTGTTCACTCTGTCACATCTGTATAGGTTGTAACCTGGGATCCATATTTCATTGTCCAAGTGATCCTTTATGTGGGTCTCAGTGAAAGCCGCGAACATTGCCTTTGCCTCTGCAAGCAGTCCACGGATGAAAGGTATTTTGTTGTTTGTTGCTGGCTTTAGACCCTGTATATTTGCAAAGAAGAATGTTATCGGACTGGTGGTATTGTTGGTACTGGGGGGGGATTTTTTTTCCGGCATTAGTATCTGTATCTGTTGGTTTGGAGTGGAGGCCATCGACTGTGGTTCCACTCCAGGAATGACTGGATTTGGTGTACGATTTCTGTTGCAGTCTATCTTTCAGTTTTTTTTTTTGTCAAGGCAGAGTACCAAGAAGAGCAAGCGTAATCCATATGGCATTGTATAAGGGCTAGACATAGGGTCCTGCGAGCCTCAGTAGGTAGACACTGTGCTTGTCTATACAGGAACTTCAGTCTGGCATTCGCTTTCTTTACTACACTGTTCCCTATCAATTCTCCTGACATGCATGGGTCAAAGGGGATTCCCAAATATTTTACTGATGAAACCAAAGTGATGGGCTCCCCATTACATTGAACATTAAAGTTATTTACCCTTCTCAGTTTATGTTTCGTGCAAAAGAGAATGGCTTCAATTTTCCCGAGGTGTAATGATAGTTTGTTGTCTACTAACCATTTGCTGCAGGACTCCAGTTCCAGTGTTAAAAACATTAGCAATATCTTGTGGGTCTTTACCTGACACTAACAGAGCACTGTCATCTGCATACAGTAGGAGTTTGCACTTGACACTGACAGGCATATCATTGACATAACATAAGAATAATAAGGGACCCAGAATACTACCTTGGGGAACTCCACATGTTATCGGCAGGGGTTCTGATTCTGTTTTGTTGATTTTGACTATTTGTCTCCTGTTGCTAAGGTAGGACTTAAACCAGTCTACAGAACCTATACCGATAGCTTGAAGTTTATTACATAATATATTGTGGTTGACAGTATCGAAGGCCTTTTGCAGGTCTAAGGTTACCATACCTATGAGGTTCCCTTTGACATTTCAGTTCTCAGGTAATCCATCAGATTAATAAGGGAGGTGTCGGTTGAGTAGGATCTTCTAAAGCCCGATTGATAGCTATGGAAAAATGTTGTTGTCATTAAGGTACTTAACTACTTGAGAATACACCGCCCTCTCTAGAATTTTAGATATTATACTGAGTATACTAACAGGCCTATAGTTGCTTACATCAGACCTACTATTTTTCTTGAAGATAGGAGTAACTCTGGCCTCCTTGAACCCCTCCGGTACGGTATTAGTGGTGATTGATAGATTTATTATGTGAGCAATAGGGATTGACAGTTCAGAAGCACCATCTTTTAGGAACTTAGACGGGATGTTATCAGGGCCTGTGCTCTTAGTTGGGTTTAACCTGCTTAGTTCTTTTTGAATAAAATCATGAGATACACTTACTAGTTGACAACTGTTTGGGGTTACCCCTTTATTGGTATAGTATGTTTGAAACTTATCAGAGTCTGTGTTAAAGGTATTTGATGCAGCTGGTAGTTTACTTACTAGTGTTGATGCAACGGATGTGTAGTATGAATTAAAACAATTTGCCACCTTAGATGTTTCGTGGCATACCTCATTATCGATAGTGAGTACTATGTTAGACCTATCTACTGGCTTATGGCTATACCCCAACTGTTTTAGTTGTTGCCAGAGCTTTCTGGGGTTATGCTTATACTCTTCAATTTTTGAGCAGTAGTGCTTTGCCTTTGCTCCTTTTATAAGCCTCTGTACTCTGTTCCTCACCCTTTGGAATTCATTTAGTGCTGCAATATCCTGTCTGTTTGCTTTAAATCTTTTTAGCAGCTGGTCTCTGAATTTCATATTATCTAATATCTCAGTAGTCATCCAGGGTTCAGTTCTTCGTTTAATCCTAACCTCTTTAACTGGTGCAATATTATTAAGAATGGTAGTGAACATTGTTTTGAATTTTTCCCAGGCATCGTTTACGTCCGTGCAACTTGTTATCTCTGTCCAGTCACAATTGTGTAGCCTATTTACCATGTTTCTTTACTGTAGTTTCTAGTTGACCTCATTTTTATTGTCCTGTGTAGGCCTATCCTATCCCTAGTGATTTTCCTGGTGCAGTAAATGATGAAATGATCACTAAGACCTGTGGTAATGACGCCTGACTGACTAATGTTCTCAGAGCGGTTACAAAGTATGTGGTCAATTAGGGTGGCTGAGAACTGTGTGATCCGGTTGGAGTATTAATTAGTTGAGTGTAACTATTTAATCCTAGAATTTGCTTATACCTTTTGCATAGCCCGTTATTTTGTTGCTGAAAACAGATATTGAAATCGCCCATATTATTGTCTCGCAATTGCTTTCAACTCCGGACAAGACTCTGGAAAAGTCTTCTAAGAACTGGTCCTGGGTAGGAGGGCGGTAACTAGTTCCTACTAAGATGGGTTTGGTCTTAGGAAGCAGCACTTCAAACCATAGAATCTCCAGTTTATTGTTATTTAAATCAGGTCTTGGGTTGTAAGCTAAGTCATTTCTAATGTAGGCACATACTCCACCACCCTTTTTTATTCCTATCTAAGCGTTTTATATTGTAACCATCTATTTGACCTCGTCGTCAGTCACCGTATCATCCAACCAAGATTCAGAGATGGTTATAACTGCCGCCCTAGTTTTGTTAGCTAGAATCCTAATCTCTGCCAATTTAGGAAGAAGTGATCTTGCATTGACATGAATAAAGTGAAGGCCTGTTTTCATAAAACAATCATAATCATCAATATATGGCAATGGGTCATTTGTATTAAAATTAGGTAAATCAATGTCATCACTGCTAAAGGGTAACTGTGCCAAAGTGCATTTGTTACACACAAAATGAATTCTGGCACCGTTGCTATAATTGTACATACATCCATCATGCACCCACCCCTTACACATTTTACATAAGGTGCCTTTTCTGTTTTTCATGCGTACTTTAGTACAGTGTATGCACCTGTTTGGTAGTGTTTGAGATAATAATGGCTGTATTGTCTCACATTGACCTATGTATGCATTACATATGGAGTTAAGGTTATCATCCCTAGCTACTAGACCGTCATTATCGCCGTCATTTATCTGTCTGTTTTGCCTCTGCGCAATAGTTTGAGGTCCTGGATGGCTAAAGCTCCCGCTTCACACACGGAGGGCCCGGGTTCGATTCCCGGCGGGTGGAATCATTTCGACACGTTTCCTTACACCTGTTGTCCTGTTCACCTAGCAGCAAATAGGTACCTGGGTGTTAGTCGACTGGTGTGGGTCGCATCCTGGGGGACAAGATTAAGGACCCCAATGGAAATAAGTTAGACAGTCCTCGATGACGCACTGACTTTCTTGGGTTATCCTGGGTGGCTAACCCTCCGGGGTTAAAAATCCGAACGAAATCTTATCTTATCTTATCTTACAATAAGAGCTGTGTGCCACTGTTCTGATTCTGTTTTGTTGATTTTGACAATTTGTCTCCTGTTGCTAAGGTAGGACTTAAACCAGTCTACAGAACCTATACCGATAGCTTGAAGTTTCTGGATTATTATTATTATAATCATGGGGAGCGCTAAACCCGTAGGATTATACAGCACACGTAGGGGGGAGGATGGAAGGTATTTAGGCTCAATTCAGCGAACTGGAGCACAGATCCAATTCCCTAGATCAAGAGCCCCTCACCAGCGTCAAGGAACCTTCCTTGAGGGGTGAAGTTTCTGGAGTTTTGAGACTCTCTGGCCGCGGGTTCTAACCCCACCCGTGGTATGACTTGTTCGCAATAGTGTCATTACAATTTCCTGAGCCATCATTCATAAATAACAAATTATTTAACATCAACTTAAAAAAACACACCTAACCATAGCAAACAAATTTCAGCGAACTGAAAAAAAAATTACCAGAAGAAAAATGTATCTTTTCTAAGGTTATCTTAACAGAAAAAAAACGACACCATATCAACAACTTTTTTAGACACATATGAATGCTACAGCAGTGAGGTGGTAAACAAAACCTGATACAGGAATCTCGCCTCTACAGCACCGTCCATAAAGCCGAGAATTGCTTGAGATGTGAGACAACTGGTTCTGGAGAAGTGAAGATGGCAGCCGTCGTAAGGTCGAGAATATATTTCTCCAGTGTTGTACGTTTCTCCGACCGTGAATCTATCGCCTGAACACACCAGCAAGTAGATAAATATGGTGAGGAGGGTGTGGCCGGGGGTGGAGGGGCAGGAACACTTTACCAGTGGTGAAATAAGTGGTGGTGCGCCTCAGGCTTATCACTGGCTGGAGGTTGTTGTGGCAGGTGTGTTGTGGCAGGTGTGTTGTGGCAGGTGTTGTGGCAGGTATGTTGTGGCAGGTGTGTTGTAACAGGTGTTGTGGCAGGTGTGTTGTAACAGGTGTTGTGGCAGGTTGTGGCAGGTGTGCTGTAACAGGTGTTGTGGCAGGTGTGTTGTAACAGGTGTTGTGGCAGGTGTGTTGTAACAGGTGTTGTGGCAGGTGTGTTGTAACAGGTGTTGTGGCAGGTGTGTTGTGGCAGGTGTTGTGGCAGGTGTGTTGTGGCAGGTGTTGTGGTAACAGGTGTTGTGGCAGGTGTGTTGGGCAGGTGTTGTGGTAACAGGTGTTGTGGCAGGTGTGTTGTGGTAACAGGTGTTGTGGCAGGTTGTGGCAGGTGTGTTGTGGCAGGTGTTGTGGCAGGTGTGTTGTGGCAGGTGTGTTGTGGCAGGTGTGTTGTGGCAGGTGTTGTGTGGCAGGTGTGTTGTGGTAACAGGTGTTGTGGCAGGTGTTGTGGTAACAGGTGTTGTGGCAGGTTGTGGCAGGTGTGTTGTGGCAGGTTGTGGCAGGTGTGTTGTGGCAGGTTGTGGCAGGTGTGTTGTGGCAGGTGTGTTGTGGCAGGTTGTGGCAGGTGTGTTGTGGCAGGTTGTGGCAGGTGTGTTGTGGCAGGTTGTGGTAGGTGTGTTGTGGTAACAGGTGTTGTGGCAGGTGTGTTGTGGCAGTGTGTGTAACAGGTGTTGTGGCAGGTGTGTTGTGGCAGGTGTTGTGGTAACAGGTGTTGTGGCAGGTGTGTTGTGGCAGGTGTTGTGGTAACAGGTGTTGTGGCAGGTGTGTTGTGGCAGGTGTTGTGGTAACAGGTGTTGTGGCAGGTGTGTTGTGGTAACGTGTTGAGGCAGGTGTGTTGTGGCAGGTGTGTTGTGACAGGTGTTGTGGCAGGTGTGTTGTGGTAATGTGTTGTGGCAGGTGTTGTGGCAGGTGTGTTGTGGCAGGTGTTGTGGCAGGTGTGTTGTGGTAACGTGTTGTGGCAGGTGTGTTGTGGCAGGTGTGTTGTGGCAGGTGTTTGTGGCAGGTGTGTTGTGGTAACTTGTTGTGGCAGGTGTGTTGTGGTAACGTATTGTGGCAGGTGTTGTGGCAGGTGTGTTGTGGCAGGTGTTGTGGCAGGTGTGTTGTGGTAACGTGTTGTGGCAGGTGTGTTGTGGTAACGTGTTGTGGCAGGTGTGTTGTGGTAACGTGTTGTGGCAGGTGTTGTGGTAACGTGTTGTGGCAGGTGTGTTGTGGTAACGTGTTGTGGCAGGTGTGTTGTGGCAGGTGTGTTGTGGTAACGTGTTGTGGCAGGTGTGTTGTGGTAATGTGTTGTGGCAGATGTGTTGTGGCAGGTGTGTTGTGGTAACGTGTTGTGGCAGGTGTATTGTGGTAACGTTGTGGCAGGGGTGTTGTGGCAGGTGTGTTGTGGCAGGTGTTGTTATGGCAGGTGTTGTGGCAGGTGTTGTGGTAACGTTGTGGTAGGTGTGTTGTGGTAACGTGTTGTGGCAGGTGTGTTGTGGTAACGTGTTGTGGTAACAGGTGTGTTGTGGCAGGTGTGTTGTGGCAGGTGTTGTGGTAACAGGTGTTGTGGTAACGTGTTGTTGTGGCAGGTGTTGTGGTGGCAGTTGTTTTAACAGGTGTTGTGACAGGTGTTGTGGTAACAGGTGTTGTGGTAACAGGTGTTGTGGCAGGTTTTGTGGTAACAGGTGTTGTGGTGGCAGGTGTTGTGGTAACAGGTGTTGTGGCAGGTGTTGTGGTGGCAGGTGTTGTGGCAGGTGTTGTATCAGGTGTTGTGGTGGCAGGTGTAGTGGCAGGTGTGTTGTGGTGGCAGGTGCTGTGGCAGGTGTGTTGTGGCAGGTGTTGTGGTGACAGGTGTTGTGGCAGGTGTTGTGACAGGTGTGTTGTGACAGGTGTGTTGTGGCAGGTGTTGTGGTGGCAGGTGATGTGGCAGGTGTGTTGTTATGGCAGGTGTTGTGGTGACGTGTTGTGGCAGGTGTGTTGTAGCAGGTGTTGTGGTGGCAGGTGTTGTGGCAGCAGGTGTTGTGGTGACAGGTGTTGTGGCAGGTGTGTTGTGGCAGGTGTTGTGATAGGTGTGTTGTTGTGGCAGGTGTTGTGGTGACAGGTGTTGTGGCAGGTGTGTTGTTGTGGCAGGTGTTGTGGTGGCAGGTGTGTTGTAGCAGGTGTTGTGGTGGCAGGTGTTGTGGTGAAAGGTGTTGTGGCAGGTGTTGTGGTGGCAGGTGTGTTGTTGTAGCAGGTGTTGTGGTGGCAGGTGTTGTGGCAGATGTGTTGTTGTGGCAGTTGTGGCAAATGTGTTGTGGCAGGTGTTGTTGCAGGTGTGTTGTGGCAGGTGTTGTTGCAGGTGTGTTGTTGTGGCAGGTGTTTGGCAGGTGTGTTGTGCCAGGTGTGTTTGGCAGGTGTGTTGTGTAAGGAGTTGTGGCAGGTGTGTTGTTGTGGCAGGTGTGTTGCTGTCAGGTGTTGTGGCAGGTGTGTTGGTCGTGTGGCAGGTGTGTTGTTGTGGCAGGTGTTGTGGCGGGTGTGTTGTGGCACCTGTGTTGTGTCAGGTGTTGTAGCAGGTGCGTTTTGGCAGGTGCGTTGGTCTTGCGGCAGGTGTGCTGGTCTTGTGGCAGGTGTGCTGGTCTTGTGGCAGGTGTGTTGGTCTTGTGGCAGGTGTGTTGGTGTTGTGGCAGGTGTGTTGTGTCAGGTGTTGTAGCAGGTGTGTTGTCAGGTGCTGTAGCAGGTGTGTTGTGTCAGGTGTAGCAGGTGTGTTGTGTCAGGTGTTGTGGCAGGTGTGTTGTATTATGTTGTAGCAGGTGTGTTGTGGCAGGTATGTTGGTCTTGTGGCAGGTGTGTTGATCTTGTGGCAGGTGTGTTGGTCTTGTGTCAGGTGTGTTGGTCTTGTGGCAGGTGTGCAGGTCTTGTGGCAGGTGTGCTGGTCTTGTGGCAGGTGTGTTAGCCTTGTGGCAGGTGTGTTGGTCTTGTGGCAGGTGTGTTGGTCTTGTGGCAGGTGTGTTGGTCTTGTGGCAGGTGTGTTAGTCTTGTGGCAGGTGTGTTGATCTTGATGCAGTTGTGTTGATCTTGTGGCAGGTGTGTTGGCCTTGCAGCAGGTGTGTTGGTCTTGTAACAGATGTGTTGATCTTGTGTCAGGTGTGCTGATCTTGTGGAAGGTGTGTTGGTCTTGTGTCAGGTATGTTGGTCTTGTGGCAGGTGTGTTGGTCTTGTGGCAAGTGTGTTGGTCTTGTGTCAGGTATGTTGGTCTTGTGGCAGGTGTGTTGGTCTTGTGGCAGGTGTGTTGGTCTTGTCAGGTGTGACAGGTGTGTTGATCTTATGGCAGGAACCAAACAGTTTCGGTTCCAAGCAGTCGTTCATAAGTCCTTTTGTTTATAAGTCCAACGTATGTACATATGCAATATTGTACAGTAGTGTAGTATTTCTATGTACGAACATCGAGTAACGTAGAAGTGTGCATTATTTAAACATAATCGTCAACACAGGAAAAGTGCATTGGTCAGCTCCTCTCTGATCAGCATTAGGCCCAGCAGCACCTGATGCTGTTGATGATCTTCGAGCTGATCCTTGTTCGTTTTATCGAATGGCAGGTTAGGTTCCATACTGCCACTATAAAGCGTATATCACATTAAAGTAAATCACAGCCTTTTTTCCTTGAGAGGACATATAAAGCCTATAAAACGCTATCAATTATTAAGTGCACACTAGCACTAGACCTAGAAAAAAATGCAAAAATTTAAAAATCATAAGTTTTTTGGAAAGTTGTCGAAAACCATCTTAATAGCAAAGCAAGCACCAAAAATAATAAAAGTGAATACATCGGACCCCCGGTTAATGATATTTTTTCATTCCAGAAGTATGTTCAGGTGCCAGTACTGACCGAATTTGTTCCCATAAGGAATATTGTGAAGTAGATTAGTCCATTTCAGACCCCCAAACATACACGTACAAACGCACTTACATAAATACACTTACATAATTGGTCGCATTGGGAGGTGATCGTTAAGCGGGGGTCCACTGTATAACTGAAAAGTGCCATATTAGTGAAGCACTTTAAAGCGAGTGCCTTATTAATAAGGTATGCCTGTATAGATAGACTGAAGGCACTGAATTTACACTATATAAAAACAGAATTAGGGCAGATATGATTGATGTGTGCATGTGAAAAATGGAATAATAAAGAGATGAAATGATGTAACCGAGAAATTATTCATGGTAATGGATTCAAGTGGGTTAAATTTGAATTTGGAAATGATACGGGGAAGTACTGACGTGGTTGAAGAGTCTTGGTTAAGTTGGAGAAATTACCAAGCAGTGTTGTTAAAGCAAATACTACTCTGTGATGATTTATAACTATAAGTGCTTTACTTGTAATGGGGTTACATTCAGATAAACCCATCGCAAGTCGAAGGTATCGTAAGTCGAAGGTATCGTAAGTCGAAGGTGTCGTAAGTCGAAGGTATCGTAAGTCGAAGGTATCGTAAGTCGAAGGTATCGTAAGTCGAAGGTATCGTAAGTCGAAGGTATCGCAAGTCGAAGGTATCGTAAGTCGAAGGTATCGCAAGTCGAAGGTATCGCAAGTCGAAGGTATCGCAAGTCGAAGGTATCGTAAGTCGAAGGTATCGTAAGTCGAAGGTATCGTAAGTCGAAGGTATCGTAAGTCGAAGGTATCGTAAGTCGAAGGTATCGTAAGTCGAAGGTATCGTAAGTCGAAGGTATCGTAAGTCGAAGGTATCGTAAGTCGAAGGTATCGTAAGTCGAAGGTATCGTAAGTCGAAGGTATTCGTAAGTCGAAGGTATCGTAAGTCGAAGGTATCGTAAGTCGAAGGTATCGTAAGTCGAAGGTATCGTAAGTCGAAGGTATCGTAAGTCGAAGGTATCGTAAGTCGAAGGTATCGTAAGTCGAAGGTATCGTAAGTCGAAGGTATCGTAAGTCGAAGGTATCGCAAGTCGAAGGTATCGCAAGTCGAAGGTATCGCAAGTCGAAGGTATCGTAAGTCGAAGGTATCGTAAGTCGAAGGTATCGCAAGTCGAAGGTATCGCAAGTCGAAGGTATCGAAGTCGAAGGTATCGTAAGTCGAAGGTATCGTAAGTCGAAGGTATCGTAAGTCGAAGGTATCGTAAGTCGAAGGTATCGTAAGTCGAAGGTATCGTAAGTCGAAGGTATCGTAAGTCGAAGGTATCGTAAGTCGAAGGTATCGTAAGTCGAAGGTATCGTAAGTCGAAGGTATCGTAAGTCGAAGGTATCGTAAGTTGAAGATATAAATCAAAATATCGTAAATCGAAAATGAATATGATATTCTAAATAAATAAATAAATAACTGCTGTCACTGAATAAGTAAATAAACAAATAATTACTGCGACTAAATACCAGCATTGAAAAGTAAAAAAATTAATACAATTTATGGACTTGCCACCTTCATGTTGGGTAATTATTTACTTTTTTTTTAAATACAGTGGACCCCCGCATAACGATTACCTCCGAATGCGACCAATTATGTAAGTGTATTTATGTAAGTGCGTTTGTACGTGTATGTTTGAGGGTCTGAAATGAACTAATCTACTTCACAATATTTCTTATGGGAATAAATTCAGTCAGTACTGGCACCTGAACATACTTCTGGAGTGAAAAAATATCGTTAACCGGGGGTCCACTGTATTAGCTGTGATGGAAAGCACCCTCAAGTTGGTGGTTACGGCTGGCCTAGATATTATCACTCCTCTCAAACAGCATGCACTTCTCCAGGGGGGATTACCCCTGCATGTACTATCCGATCTCTCCAATGCTAACTTACATGGGAGGTTACACAGTTCTATACCCACCTCCCCCACTGGTTATGTATTTTCCGCTGAATAATGGAGGCTTCCAGTGCTTTGATTACATATAGCTCTATCTTTGACCTACTTATTCCTAGCTCTTTATTTAAAATGCCAAATGTTTTAGGGGCCATCGCACCCCTCCAAAGTAGTTGCTTTTGCACCATCGTAAAGTTGAAATATCTTAAGTTGAACCATCGTAAGTCAAGGACCACCTGTAGATTGGACAGGTAAATGCATGAAAGTAGGATCTGTCTATTATTATCTTATTATCTTCAAAACCCACAACATGGTGGAAGGGTGACAAAAATACCCCCCTCCCCTTGAATTTTCTCCATTACTGAATTAATATCTTTTTCATCGCATTTAGTAAGTAAGTAAGTTTATTCAGGTATACACAAATACAGTTACATAGATTATCATACATAGCAACATATGTGTAGACAACCTGGGATAACCCAAAAAAGTTAGACAGAGTGACTTCAGGTTATGGTTTTCAATGGATATACAGTGGACCCCCGGTTAACGATATTTTTTCACTCCAGAAGTATGTTCAGGTGCCAGTACTGACTGAATTTGTTCCCATAAGAAATATTATGAAGTAGATTAGTCCATTTCAGACCCCCAAACATACACGTACAAACGCACTTACATAAATACACTTACATAATTGGTCGCATTCGGAGGTAATCGTTATGCGGGGGTCCACTGTATTTGTGATGAAATTAAGACACATGTGCAACATCTGGATATCTTTATTGTAGACGTTTTGCCAACCAGTGGCTTTATCAATACAAATTCCAGGACATAACTTGAAGACAGATATATTTGTGTTTTACTTTCAGGCTGACCCCACTACTTCTGCTGGAGCTGATGATGATGACATTGCTCTAGGTGATATAACTGAAGACACCGAGTCTCTTCCTGTAGCCAGGCAGGTATGTATACACTTACAGCCTCTCCTCACTTAGTGACGTACTCGTTTACCGAAGACTCGGACTTACGACGGGCTCTCTGACCAGTATGCATACCTAAATAATGTATATTAGAGCTGATTTCCTCTGTTGTGTTTATTACAATATACAGTACACTACTGTACAGTGGACTCTCACCTAACGAACGCATCACATGACGTTAAATTCACCTAACGATACATTTTAATGCTAACTTTTGCTTCGGCTAATGCTAAAAAACTCGCCTAACGATATTCGTTCTCGGGTACCAATTAATATTGTTAGGTGAGGGTCCACTGTATAAACCTTTAAAAATATACTAAAATTATTATAAATACAGTAGACCCCCGGTTAACGATATTTTTTCACTCCAGAAGTATGTTCAGGTGCCAGTACTGACCGAATTTGTTCCCATAAGAAATATTGTGAAGTAGATTAGTCCATTTCAGACCCCCAAACATACACGTACAAACGCACTTACATAAATACACTTACATAATTGGTCACATTTGGAGGTAATCGTTATGCGGGGGTCCACTGTAGTGCAAAGGTGGCTTTAAGTGAGGAGAGGCTGTATTTCTAATTTAAAATGTGATTCAGGGCATCAGGGAGGCTACTTTTTTTGTAAAAGTATAATAATAATAATAATTTATTTTAGCATGGTATCAGATGAGCCTGGTCCATGGTCGGGCTTCGGGCATAGATTCAAAAGTCATCAAAGGTATACAGTGTTTGTGCAGAGGTGGGTGACATCTCATAATAATAATAATAATAATTTTATTTCTATAAGTACATGTACAAGGTATACAGACCATAGCTGACATCAGTGACATACTACTATACCTACCATCCGACTTACGACCGAGTTCGGTTCCGAGAAACTGGTCGTAAGTCGAAATGGTCGTAAGTCGAATTTTACTACTGAATATCAACAAAACATTTATGTAATGACTTTTTTTTGTTGTTTTATTTGGTATTTCATGTTTTACTTTACTTTTTATGCTGTTAGTACTGTATTTTATACTGTAAGGTTTAGGATAAACACTGTGTACAACACAAATAGTTGTTTATTTCCCAGAAATTTGGCATAAAAAACACGGTCGTAAGTCGAGTGGTCGTAAGTCGGATGGTAGGTGTATATAAAAAGCCACTTGTTATGCTGAGCATTTTCAGCAAATTAGGTCAGTTTTGTCCCAGGATGCGACCCACACCAGGCCACTAACACCCAGGATGCGACCCACACCAGTCCACTAACACCCAGGATGCGACCCACACCAGTCCACTAACACCCAGGTACCTGTTTTATACTGATGGGTGAACATAGACAATAGGTGTCTTAAGGAAACACGTCCTAATGTTTTCCAGCCGTACTGGGGATTTGATCTCCAGACCTCAGTGAGTGAGCTGAGTGCACTAGCAATTGAGCTACGGGACACTTACATGCAGAAAGCCCATGGTTATGCAGAGCATTTCAGGCAAACTTATCCTAACTTAAAAGCAAAATGGCAGTAACTAATTAATTGCTTATACAGTGGACCCCCGGTTAACGATATTTTTTCACTCCAGAAGTATGTTCAGGTGCCAGTACTGACTGAATTTGTTCCCATAAGAAATATTGTGAAGTAGATTAGTCCATTTCAGACCCCCAAACATACACGTACAAACGCACTTACATAAATACACTTACATAATTGGTCACATTCAGAGGTAATCGTTATGCGGGGGTCCACTGTATGTACGTATATGAACGTTAAGGGCTCATAAACAGTAAATTTCGGAATTACAAGAACAAAGAGGCAGTCTGTTATTACTTAAGGTTGGATTATAATTACAGATAATGAGGATAAGAATACAGCCTCTCCTCACTTAACAATGGAGTTGTGTTTCTAAGACCACATCGGTCAACGAATATGTCACTAAGTGAGGAGCATACTATAATGGTAGTGGGTTTGTGTCAACCATCTTCGATATTGTTTTAATGTCACCTTTGTACCATTTATAACATTTCTGGTATATTTTTAAATGTTTATACAGTAGTGTACTGTATATTGTAATAAACAGAATAGAGAAAATCAGCTCTAATATACATCATTAGATATGCATACTGGTCAGAGAGCCCATTGTAAGTCCGAGGCATTTGTAAACAAGTACAGTGGACCCCCGCATAACGATTACCTCCGAATGCGACCAATTATGTGTATTTAAGTAAGTGCGTTTGTACGTGTATGTTTGGGGGTCTGAAATGGACTAATCTACTTCACAATATTTCTTATGGGAACAAATTCGGTCAGTACAGGCACCTGAACATACTTCTGGAGTGAAAAAATATCGTTAACCGGGGGTCCACTGTATATTGCTAAGTGAGGAGAGGCTGTATGTGGTTTTTCACATATTTGTGGTTAAGAGAATTGCTTAGCATGTTAACATATGTAATGTATTGCTGTACTGTACTGTACGGTGTCCCGTGGTTTGGTAGACAACACTCTTGCCTCACACACCGAGTGTCCAGGGTTCAGTCTCCGGCCGGGTCGAAACATGGGGTGTGTTACCTTACACTTGATGTCACTGTTCACCTAGCAAACAAGTTGGTACCTGGGTGTTAGTTACCTTACACCTGTTGTCACTGTTCACCTAGCAAGCAAGGAGGTGCCTGGGTGTTAGTTACCTCACACCTGCTGTCATTGTTCATCCAGCAAGCAAGTAGGTACCTGGGTGTTAGGGGACTGGTGTGTGTCACATCCTGGGGGACAAGATTGAAGAATCACAAGGGAAATGAGACATAAGAACATAAGAAAGGAGGAACACTGCAGCAGGCCTGTTGGCCCATACTAGGCAGGTCCTTTACAATCCTTACAAGTCCTCGATGATGCACTGACTTTCTTGGGTTATCATGGAAAACTAACCTTTCAGGGTTAAAAATCTGAACAAACTCTTAACTTACAAACTGTTTGACTGCTCAGAGGTTGGGCCACATGTACCAGATGGAGAATCGAACGTCCGTCATTCTTTATGATTAACGAGGCACACACATTTTTATTTTTTGTGAAAGATATCAATATACTTGACAGACAGATGGCAGAGGGATGTAGTGAGAAGAGAGATCAGCCTCAGCTTTAAGGATACCATGTGTATTCAGAGTTTACAATTTGATTAAATTATTTAAGCTAACAACACAAAATTCTTTTCTGTTTTTTAATTCAGTTAGTCATTGTTCATCTTTGCCACTGCTTGTTTGTTCTTGTGATTCCTAAAATTATTGTTCGTGAACCTTTAATGTCCTTGTACAATAGAACCACTGTATCCGTGGTTTCAGTTATCTGCAGTTTACCGTTGCTCGGGAATAACTCTCAGTTTTGCTTAATAAGGGCACCAAAACACAAAAGCAGTCATGGCGGCAGTTCTACAAAGCCTAAGAGACATGAAGTGTATCCCATTGGTGAAAAAATGCTAATTCTTCACTTAATGCAACAAGAAAGAAAATTGTATGCTGAAGGCGCTAAGATGTACAGCAAAAATAAGTCTTCCATTGGTGAAGTATAATAATGTACAATGTATTTTATTATTTAATGTTGGAAATGCCTTATTGTGCGTAATTTATCAATTAAACCTTATCATAGGTATGTATGTAAAAAAATGACTTATACATAGGGTTCACTACCATCCCCAGTTTCGGGTATCTGTGGTAGATCTTGGAATGTATCCTTCACGGATATGGGGCGACTACTGTATTTAAGCCATCAATTAGTCATTGCCATTTTTGTTTTAAGTTAGCCTGAAATGCTCTGCACAACTAGGGACTTTCTGCATGCATACAAAAATGTCAGCCATCTCTATAAAAATATATATCATGCTGAAATAAAAATGATTTTTATTATTTTTTCAATACACTGGCTGTCTCCCACCAAGGTAAGGTGACCTAACAAGAAAAGAAAAGTTTTACATTTTAAATTTAGTGATTTATATAGAAGGTTGCACCTTGCTCCCAGCATTTTTGTCGCCTTTTATGACGTATGGCTTATGGAGGAAGAATTTTGTTCTTCTTCCCCATGGAGATTTTTTTCTTTTCAATGTACCAGCCATATCCCACCAAGGTGGGGTGGCCCAAAAGGAAAAACGAAAGTTTCTCCTTTCAAATTTAATAATATACAGTGGACCCCCAGTTAACGATATTTTTTCACTCCAGAAGTATGTTCAGGTGACAGTACTGACCGAATTTGTTCCCATAAGAAATATTGTGAAGTAGATTAGTCCATTTCAGACCCCCAAACATACACGTACAAACGCACTTACATAAATACACTTACATAATTGGTCGCATTCGGAGGTAATCGTTATGCGGGGGTCCACTGTATACAGGAGAATTGGTTACTAGCCCCTTGCTCCCGGCATTTTAGTCGCCTGTTATGACACGCATGGCTTAGGGAGGAAGAATTTTGTTCCACTTCCCCATGGAGAATGGAGAATTATTATTATTATTATTGTTACTACTATTATTATTATAACTTAATTGTTTTTAATAGCAGAATCGAGAGGCTGTACTTGCCACCTTCCGTGAGGAGTGGCAGCGTGAGTTGGTGGGAAATCCCGCTCAGAAAGGGATCTATTCTTCTGTGAGGTCTCCTTCAAGAGTAGCATCACAAGGACCCTTTCAGGGACCCCAATGGCCCCCAGGCCCAGCAAGAGGAAGCCCCAGAGCTGTACCAAGTTCTCCCAGTCAAGGGACAGATGCAGGGAGCAGTGGGAGTGTTAGCACTGCTACTGAAAATGTTGGTAGTGGTGGTAGTGGTACCAATACAGAGTGTAATGTTGGTAGTGGTGGTGGTGGTGGTGGTAGAGTGGAAGAGGAAATCAGACCTGATGTAGAATTAAAGGTAAGAGTTAGTACATTGTTGCTGCTTTTATCAGTCACTATTTCCAGCAATCTTTCACTATCTCAGTCACTATTACCAGTAATCTTTCATTATCTCAGTCACTATTACCAGTAATCTTTCACTATCTCAGTATCTCAGTCACTCTTACCAGTAATGTTTCACTATCTCAGTCACTATTACCAGTAATCTTTCACTATCTCAGTATCTCAGTCACTATTACCAGTAATCTTTCACTATCTCAGTATCTCAGTCACTATTACCAGTAATCTTTCACTATCTCAGTATCTCAGTCACTATTACCAGTAATCTTTCACTATCTCAGTATCTCAGTCACTATTACCAGTAATCTTTCACTATCTCAGTATCTCAGTCACTATTACCAGTAATCTTTCACTATCTCAGTATCTCAGTCACTATTACCAGTAATCTTTCACTATCTCAGTATCTCAGTCACTATTACCAGTAATCTTTCACTATCTCAGTATCTCAGTCACTATTACCAGTAATCTTTCACTATCTCAGTATCTCAGTCACTATTACCAGTAATCTTTCACTATCTCAGTATCTCAGTCACTATTACCAGTAATCTTTCACTATCTCAGTATCTCAGTCACTATTACCAGTAATCTTTCACTATCTCAGTATCTCAGTCACTATTACCAGTAATCTTTCACTATCTCAGTATCTCAGTCACTATTACCAGTAATCTTTCACTATCTCAGTATCTCAGTCACTATTACCAGTAATCTTTCACTATCTCAGTATCTCAGTCACTATTACCAGTAATCTTTCACTATCTCAGTATCTCAGTCACTATTACCAGTAATCTTTCACTATCTCAGTATCTCAGTCACTATTACCAGTAATCTTTCACTATCTCAGTATCTCAGTCACTATTACCAGTAATCTTTCACTATCTCAGTATCTCAGTCACTCTTACCAGTAATGTTTCACTATCTCAGTCACTCTTACCAGTAATCTTTCACTATCTCAGTCACTATTTCCAGCAATCTTTCTGCACATGCATGTTAGATCCTTCCTTTTATGCTTAGCAATATTATATTTCCGTATAAACTACATTTTACATTGCACATGTAGAAATAAAAATTATTATTATTATTACTATTATTAAAGGTTGTTTGTGGGTGATGCGTACAAACATAACATTTTTCTTATTTCTTTCTTAAATAATCCCAGACGTTAACCCAAGACAAGTTATGAATGAGTCTGTCACGATGACTTATCTTGCGTTTATAGACTACAGGTGGTCCTAGACTTGTGAGGATTCGACTTACAGTACAATACTTCGACTTCACGTTGGTGCAAAAGCAGTAACTTTGGAGATAAACCTTAAGAAAATTATGCAGCTTGGAGACGGCAAGTCCATAACTTGTATGCAATTTTTTTTTTTACTTTTCAGTATTAGTATTTAGTTAGTTATTTATTTAGCATATCACATCCATATCCTACTGAGGAAATTTTCGACTTACAATATTTTTTACTTAACAGTACAGTGGAACTTTGGTACTTGAACTTAATTCATTCCAAAAGGCTGTTTGAGTGCCGATCTGTTTGAGCACTGAACGAATTTTTCCCAACCAATTTTCTTTTTTGTTGGCTGTTATCAGTAAAATTCTTAGGCCCCATGGTGACTTACTTATACAAATAATATAAAAAAGAGCACCAAAAAAATACGAAGACACATGAAATAGTTCGCAGTGAAGTTCTGGCAGGTCGTGTTTGTTTGGTCGAGTGCTGAGCAAACGGCCGACTACCGAGCGATTTTTTTTACCAAACAAAGCGTTGGAATACCGAATTGTTTGAGTAGGGAGCTGTTCGAGTACCGAGGTTCCACTGTATTTTTTATTTACAATGGGCTTGTCGGAACGTAACCCCATTGTAAGTCGAGGTCCACGGGTATATGGCTTTGAGAGGTATGAGTATATTTTTAAATGTTTATACAGTAGTGTACTGTATATTGTAATAAACAGAATAGAGGAAATCAGCTCTAATATACATTAGTTAGATATGAATACTGGTCAGAGAGCCCATCGTAAGTCCGAGTCGACGGTAAACAATTACATCGCTAAGTGAGGAGAGTCTGTAATATCATTATTATATATTATTATGCACAATGTGTTTGTAAGTTGAAGACTTATTTTATATAATGGTGTATGTTGTTGCAGGCAACTGAACTGTTTAACAAGGCTGTTGAACTGGAGCAGAGCGGTCAGCTGTACGAAGCCATACAGTTCTACAGACGTGCTATGACCCTCGTACCTGACATAGAGTTCAGGGTACATAGTCGCAATGTGCTGGAAAGGACCGAGGGTAGGGAATTTTGTTATTCTCTCTCTCTCTCTTTATAATTAACTGTTTGTCTTGATTCTTTATATGGCCATTCTCTCTATATATGTATCTATATCTCTCTATTTCTCTCTACTCTGTATCTCTCTATCATGTCTCTATCTCTGTCTCTCTCTCAAGTAATTATGTTTACTGTAATATTTTTTAAATGCATCGGCCATCACCCACCGAGACAGAGTGACCCTGAAAAAGAAGAAACACTTGCACCATCACTCACTCCATCATCATATATTGATCAACCCTTTCCAGATCTGATCTGAGAATTTCTCTCAGTATCCAAGAATTTTTTCCCCTTCAGAAAATTATTTTATGAAATGATAGATAATTTTTTTTCCAAAGGTAACGAAACCAAAAAGTATGAAATTTGATGGAAAACTACGAAATTACACTTTCATGAATTTTGCTTCATCGCCGATATTTACTCATCGGCGATTTTTGCCCACTTTGAGTCCGATATTAGGCCAATTATTTCTGAAAAAGCGAGGTGGTTGCATGATGACCTTCTGAAAAAAACCTGGAACAAGTGCTGGAATGCAATCCTTCAAGGCTAGTACGAGTTGGGCTGATAATTTTAAGAAAAGAAGTGCCATTCATAGTGTGGCTAGGCATGGAGAGGCTGACCCGCTTATACAGCAGGTTATATTTTCGGCTACTGCTGTACAGGAGGGCCCCACTTATACAGCAGGTTAGGCTCAAGGCTACCGTAAGGCCCTGCTAATACAGCAGGTTAGGTTCCAGGCTACTGTAGGGCCCCACTTATACAGCAGGTTAGGTTCCAGGCTACTGTAAGGCCCCACTTATACAGCAGGTTAGGTTCCAGGCTACTGTAGGGCCCCACTTATACAGCAGGTTAGGTTCCAGGCTACTGTAAAGCCCCACTTATACAGCAGGTTAGGTTCCAGGTTACTGTAAGGCCCCACTTATACAGCAGGTTAGGTTCCAGGCTACTGTAAGCCCCCACTTATACAGTAGGTTAGGTTCCAGGCTACTGTAAGGCCCCACTTATACAGCAGGTTAGGTTCCAGGTTACTGTAGGGCCCCACTTATACAGCAGGTTAGGTTCCAGGTTACTGTAAGGCCCCACTTATACAGCAGGTTAGGTTCCAGGTTACTGTAGGGCCCCACTTATACAGCAGGTTAGGTTCCAGGTTACTGTAAAGCCCCACTTATACAACAGGTTAGGTTCCAGGTTACTGTAGGGCCCCACTTATACAACAGGTTAGGTTCCAGGTTACTGTAGGGCCCCACTTATACAACAGGTTAGGTTCCAGGTTACTGTAGGGCCCCACTTATACAACAGGTTAGGTTCCAGGTTACTGTAGGGCCCCACTTATACAACAGGTTAGGTTCCAGGTTACTGTAGGGCCCCACTTATACAACAGGTTAGGTTCCAGGTTACTGTAGGGCCCCACTTATACAACAGGTTAGGTTCCAGGTTACTGTAGGGCCCCACTTATACAGCAGGTTATGTTCCAGGTTACTGTAAAGCCCCACTTATACAGCAGGTTAGGTTCCAGGTTACTGTAAGGCCCCACTTATACAGCAGGTTAGGTTCCAGGTTACTGTAAGGCCCCACTTATACAGCAGGTTAGGTTCCAGGCTACTGTAAGGCCCCACTTACACAGCAGGTTAGGTTCCAGGTTACTGTTAGGCCCCACTTATACAGCAGGTTAGGTTCCAGGTTACTGTAAGGCCCCACTTATACAGCAGGTTAGGTTCCAAGTTACTGTAGGGCCCCACTTATACAGCAGGTTAGGTTCCAGGTTACTGTAAGGCCCCACTTATACAGCAGGTTAGGTTCCAGGTTACTGTAAGGCCCCACTTATACAGCAGGTTAGGTTCCAGGTTACTGTAGGGCCCCACTTATACAGCAGGTTAGGTTCCAGGTTACTGTAAGGCCCCACTTATACAGCAGGTTAGGTTCCAGGTTACTGTAAGGCCCCACTTATACAGCAGGTTAGGTTCCAGGTTACTGTAGGGCCCCACTTATACAGCAGGTTAGGTTCCAGGTTACTGTAAGGCCCCACTTATACAGCAGGTTAGGTTCCAGGTTACTGTAGGGCCCCACTTATACAGCAGGTTAGGTTCAGGTTACTGTAAGGCCCCACTTATACAGCAGGTTAGGTTCCAGGTTACTGTAGGGCCCCACTTATACAGCAGGTTAGGTTCCAGGTTACTGTAGGGCCCCACTTATACAACAGGTTAGGTTCCAGGTTACTGTAGGGCCCCACTTATACAACAGGTTAGGTTCCAGGTTACTGTAGGGCCCCACTTATACAGCAGGTTAGGTTCCAGGTTACTGTAGGGCCCCACTTATACAGCAGGTTAGGTTCCAGGTTACTGTAAGGCCCCACTTATACAGCAGGTTAGGTTCCAGGTTACTGTAGGGCCCCACTTATACAGCAGGTTAGGTTCCAGGTTACTGTAGGGCCCCACTTATACAACAGGTTAGGTTCCAGGCTACTGTAAGGCCCCACTTATACAGCAGGTTAGGTTCCAGGTTACTGTAAGGCCCCACTTATACAGCAGGTTAGGTTCCAGGTTACTGTAGGGCCCCACTTATACAGCAGGTTAGGTTCCAGGTTACTGTAGGGCCCCACTTATACAGCAGGTTAGGTTCCAGGTTACTGTAGGGCCCCACTTATACAGCAGGTTAGGTTCCAGGTTACTGTAGGGCCCCACTTATACAGCAGGTTAGGTTCCAGGTTACTGTAGGGCCCCACTTATACAGCAGGTTAGGTTCCAGGTTACTGTAGGGCCCCACTTATACAGCAGGTTAGGTTCCAGGTTACTGTAGGGCCCCACTTATACAGCAGGTTAGGTTCCAGGTTACTGTAGGGCCCCACTTATACAGCAGGTTAGGTTCCAGGTTACTGTAGGGCCCCACTTATACAGCAGGTTAGGTTCCAGGTTACTGTAAGGCCCCACTTATACAGCAGGTTAGGTTCCAGGTTACTGTAGGGCCCCACTTATACAACAGGTTAGGTTCCAGGTTACTGTAGGGCCCCACTTATACAACAGGTTAGGTTCCAGGTTACTGTAGGGCCCCACTTATACAACAGGTTAGGTTCCAGGTTACTGTAGGGCCCCACTTATACAACAGGTTAGGTTCCAGGTTACTGTAGGGCCCCACTTATACAACAGGTTAGGTTCCAGGTTACTGTAGGGCCCCACTTATACAGCAGGTTAGGTTCCAGGTTACTGTAAGGCCCCACTTATACAGCAGGTTAGGTTCCAGGTTACTGTAAGGCCCCACTTATACAGCAGGTTAGGTTCCAGGTTACTGTAGGGCCCCACTTATACAGCAGGTTAGGTTCCAGGTTACTGTAAGGCCCCACTTATACAGCAGGTTAGGTTCCAGGTTACTGTAAGGCCCCACTTATACAGCAGGTTAGGTTCCAGGTTACTGTAAGGCCCCACTTATACAGCAGGTTAGGTTCCAGGTTACTGTAGGGCCCCACTTATACAACAGGTTAGGTTCCAGGTTACCGCTGTAAAACAAAACAGTTATTTTTTACCTTTCAAATACATATAAAAGTCTGATAACATATTTACACTATCATATATTAAGTGAGCATTATAGCTAGGCCTAAAAAATGCATATACAGTGGACCCCCGGTTTACGATCAGCTCCCAGTGCGACCAATTATGTAAGTTTATTTATGTAAGTGTGTTTGTATGTGTATGTTTGGGAGTCTGAAATGGACTAATCTAATTCACATTATTATTATTATTATTATTATTATAATCAAAGGGGAAGCGCTAAACCCGGAGGATTATACAGCGCCTGGGGGGGGGATGTGGAAGGCATTCAGGCTTAATTCGGGGAACTGGAGCACAGATCCAATTCCCTAAATCAAGAGCCCCTCACCAACATCAAGGAACCTTCCTTGAGGGGAATCTAATTCACAATATTCCTTATGGGAACAAATTCGGTCAGTACTGACACCTGAACATACTTCTGGAATGAAATAATATCGTAAACCGGGGGTCCACTGTAATATTAATACAATACATTTTAAATTTAAATTTAGGATATCGCGGTGGGACGGCAGTAGAGTGCGAAGATACTACAACCGAGAGTGATCTTGATGAAGAGGAACTTCAAGACCTGGTAGCCAGGTTTCAAATGCTCATGACTCCTACTCAGGCAATGTGTGTTCCACAGTTTAACCAAGAGGTAAATTTATTTTTTATTTTTTTTACTCTGTTCTTACATACAGTAAGTCACTGATTGTTGGTAGACAGCATCCATCCAGCGAGGTACTGTTGCCCTATCAGATGAGTGCAGAATGGAACTCTCTTATTTCTTATACACTCTGGCAGGACTGCTGATCTCTCTGTCGTGAACATGTAAGATGACAGGTAACTCTTACATATGTTCAACAGGTAACTCTTACATATGTTCAACAGGTAACTCTTACATATGTTCAACAGGTAACTCTTACATATGTTCAACAGGTAACTCTTACATATGTTCAACAGGTAACTCTTACATATGTTCAACAGGTAACTCTTACATATGTTCAACAGGTAACTCTTACATATGTTCAACAGGTAACTCTTACATATGTTCAACAGGTAACTCTTACATATGTTCAACAGGTAACTCTTACATATGTTCAACAGGTAACTCTTACATATGTTCCACAGGTAACTCTTACATATGTTCAACAGGTAACTCTTACATATGTTCAACAGGTAACTCTTACATATGTTCAACAGGTAACTCTTACATATGTTCAACAGGTAACTCTTACATATGTTCAACAGGTAACTCTTACATATGTTCAATATGCACGTTACTTTCATAAGTGCTTCTTAATACAGAACAAGAAGTCGCAATACCATCACTGGAACAATACACAGATAACTCACATATAAGAGAAAGACACTTATGACAATATTTTAGTCGGTCTTGGACCATTAATTGGTTAATGGTCCAAGTCAGACCGAAATGTCATAAATTTCTCTCTCCTATGTCCGGGTTATTTGTATATGCTTCTTAATACTTCTGAATAAATATGAAAATGTTTATTTGCTTGTAAAGCTTACAATGTGTGGTTTATAATGTGTGGTTTATAATGTGTGGTTTACATATTTATTAATTACAAAGAACCTAGGTAGTAGGTTGGTAGACAACAACCGCCCAGGGAGGTACTACCATCCTGCCAAGTGAGTGTAAAACGAAAGCCTGTAATTATTTTACATGATGGTAGGATTGCTGGTGTCCTTTTTTCTGTCTCATGAATATGCAAGATTTCAGGTACGTCTTGCTACTTCTACTTACACTTAGGTCACACTACACATACATGTACAAACATATATATACACACCCATCTGGGTTTTCTTCTATTTTCTTTCTAGTTCTTATTCTTGTTTATTTCCTCTTACCACCATGGGGAAGTGTAACAGAATTCTTCCTCTGTAAGCCATGCGTGTTGTAAGAGGCGACTAAAATGCCGGGAGCAAGGGGCTAGTAACCTCTTCTCCTGTATATATTACTGAATGTAAAAGGAGAAACTTTTGTTTTTCCTTTTGGGCCGCCCTGCCTTGGTGGGATACGGCCGGTGTGTTGAAAGAAAAAGAAAGAATTACAAAGAAGGCCACTATCATGCCTAGGCATTTCAGGCAGACTAATCCTAATTCTTACTCTGTGTTGACACAGGTTATGAAGCAGTACATTATAACATACATTATTGTAATATTTTCTTTCCAAATTAGTTGGCTTGGTTTGAGACTAAGCTGTAGGGAAAATAATCCCCAGAATCACTAACAGATCTTGTCCTGTTTCCTGACCACTAATAGGCAACGCATTTGGTAAAGGGTTATCTGTTATCCGACATTATCTGGCAGTATGGTAATACACTGCTATGTCGTACCCATTGTATGTAAATGAGAGAGCTGTGTCTGTGTCGCCGCTGAGAACTCTCCTGCCTCACCTCGGAGAATTTCTTCCCATTTCTGCTAGTATTGCAGCATTGCATAGCTCCTGATGATGCATGAGAGTGTGAAAGATTTAGAGCTAAAGATTTCCATCCCCATGTGACTTGTTCTGCATAAGAGAGAAAACGTGAGTAATAGCACATTCAGATTATTTATTTCATCATGATACAATATTTACGTTTAGATGACATTTAGGTGTGCCTGCAGAAAGTCTCTTACTATGTACAAGATTTCAGACAAAGTTAAGACTGTCTTAAGATTAATAAGACAGTAATTAACCCTTAAACTGTCCAAGTGTAGATCTACGTTTGCGCGCGTAGCGCTCCAACCTTGATTTTCTCCATAAGAAACAGTGTAAAAAAACATAAATCTACATTCGGAGCGCTATGCGAGCAAACGTAGATCTACGTTTGGACAGTTTAAGGGTTGATTGATTGCTTATATACAGCCTCTCCTCACTTAGCGACATACTCATTTACCAACGACTCGGACTTACGACGGGTTCTCTCCAGTATGCATACCTTAATAATGTATATTAGAGTTGATTTCTCCTATTCTATTTATTACAATATACAGTACACTACTGTATAAACATTTAAAATATACCAGAAGTGTTATAATGGTGCAAAGGTGACATTAAAACAATATCAAAGATGATTGACACAAACCCACTACCATTATAGTATGCTCCTCACTTAGCGAATAATTTGTTTACCGATGTGGTCTTAAGAACGAAACTCCGTCGTTAAGTGAGGAGAGGTTGTATATTTGACAATTATAGTTGCTGTAAGTAAATTTGCATTAAATTCAGGAGGTTTATTAATATAAATCTTTTTGAAGCAGTTGGCGGATAGAATTTCTCGATAGTTTGAAAGCTTTTGAAATGTAAGCAGTGCTGTGCGACCCTTGTGGGTTTGGTGTTTAGTTATGAAGGAGGGGTGTTAATGTTGCAGTTTAAAAACTGTAGTGTAAAGCACCCTTCTGGCAAGACAGTGATGGAGTGAATGATGGTGAAAGTTTTTCTTTTTCAGGCCATCCTGCCTTGGTGGGAATCGGCCAGTGTGATAATAAAAAAAAATAAAATAAATTATGATTATAATAATAATAATTTTAAAATGTTTGTGAAGAGTAATAAAATTTTTATAATATTGATAAAGAGTTATAAAACTTGAAAAGTTTTGATAAAAACTTAAAAAAAATCAAAATCTTGGTGAAGAGTTCCATGTTTTTTGGGTCGTTTATTTGAATTGAAGACGGTGAATATCAGAGATGTTTGTATTATATCTCTTGTAGCTTCAAGAAGAATTGTATACTGGGTTAATTTTTTTTCAGCAAACCGAGCCATATCCCACCAAGTTGCTCTTTTTAAAATTAGTAACGTATACAGGAGAAGGCGTTAGTAGCCCTTTGCTCCCGGCATTTCAGTCGCCTCTTATACAGTGGACCCCCGGTTAACGATATTTTTTCACTCCATAAGTATGTTCAGGTGCCAGTACTGACCGAATTTATTCCCATAAGAAATATTGTGAAGTAGATTAGTCCATTTCAGACCCCCAAACATACATGTACAAACGCACTTACATAAATACACTTACATAATTGGTCGCATTCGGAGGTAATCGTTATGTGGGGGTCCACTGTATATGGCTTACAGAGGAAGCATTCTGTTCCACTTCCCCATGGAGATGAGAAATAAACAAGAACTAGTAAGAAAATAGAAGAAAGCCCAGAGGAGTGTTTACCTGGAGAGAGTTCCGGGGGGTCAACGCCCCCGCCGCATATACTGTATATGCTTGTACATGCATGTAATAATAATAATATAATATATTATCTTTATTTCTACAAGTACATGTACAAGGTATACAAGCCTTGCTGACATAGAGAGCCGCTTGTTATGCAGAGCATTTTGGCAAATTAGGTCAGTTTTGTCTCAGGATGCGACCCATACCAATCTACTAACACCCAGGTACCCATTTTATACTGATGGGTGAACATGGACAGCAGGTGTCCTATGGAAACATCCTAATGTTTTCCAGCCATACCAAGGATTCAATCTCCGGACCTCAGTGTGTGAGCTGAGTGCACTAGCGATCAAGCTACAGGACACCTGAAGTGTGGTGTGACCTAAGTGTAAGTAGAAGTAGCAAGATATACCTGGTATCTCATGTGTTTATAAGACAGAAAAAAAACTCTAGCAATTTTACCATCATGTAAAACAATTACAAGTTTCCATTTTACACTCACTTGGCAGGACGGTAGTACCTCCCTGCATGGCTCCTGTCTACCAGCCTACTACCTAGGGCTGGGTTAATTATTCTTCTTTCAACAAACTGGCCATATCCTGCCATGGCGGGTGGCCCAAAAGGAAAAACGAAAGTTTCTCCTCTTAAATTTAGTAATATATACACGATAAGGGGTTACTAGCCCCTTGCTCCCGGCATTTTAATCAACTTTTACAACATGCATGGCTTACAGAGGAAGAATTCTGTTTCACTTCCCCATGGAGATAAAGGAAATAAACAAGAACTAGTAAGAAGATAGAAGAAAACCCAGAGTGGTGTTTATATATATGCTTGTACATGCATGTGTAGTGTGACCTAAGTGTAAGTAGAAGTAGCAAGATGTACCTGAAATCTTGCATGTTTATGAGACAGAAAAAAGACACCAGTAATCCTACCATCATGTAAAATAATTACAGGCTTCTATTTTACACTCACTTGGCAAGATGGTAGTACCTCCCTGGGTGGTTGCTGTCTACCAACCTACTGCCTAGGACTGGGTTAATATTTGTATTTAATATCCTGTTTATGCAGTATGCACAGCAGTAAGTGTGGATGCTTTGTATTTTGAGTAAATTTCAGATGTATAAGGAGATAAAGTTTTCGTATTAATGGTTCTCTCTGATGTGTATTTTAGGCTCCACATATATCGTGTCTGCCTCCTGAGATGCTGGAGCGCATCATGTGCTGGGTGGTTGGCAGCGATTTAGACATGAGGTCGTTGGAACAGGTGTCCAGGGTCTGCCAGGGCTTTTATCTGGTGGCCAGGAACCCAGAGATATGGCACAAAGCCTGCCACAGGTAAGACAGGTGGGAACCCAGAGATATGGCACAAAACCTGCCACAGGTAAGACAGGTGGGAACCCAGAGATATGGCACAAAGCCTGCCACAGGTAAGACAGGTGGGAACCCACAGATATGGTAAAAAGTTTGTCATAGTTAAGACAGAGGTAGGAACCCACAGATACACAGCATCCCTGTGGATGCTGTGTATCTGGAGATATGGCAGAAAGCCTGCCATTGGTAAGACGGGTAGGGGGGGGACTCAGGGATACACAGCATCCACAGAGATGCTGTGTATCTCTGGAGACAGCAGAAAGCCTGCCATTGGTTAGACAGAGGTATGAACCAAGAGATACACAGTATCCACAGGTTAGACAAGATAGGAACCTGGAGATATGGAAGAAAGCCTGCCATTATGAAAATAAATATTTTTGTTATTTGTAAAAAAATGAACTTTTAAAAGTTACTATATATATGTATATATATATATTTTTTTTTTAACAAGTCGGCTGCCTCCCGCCAAGGCAGGGTGACCCAAAAAGAAAGAAAATCCCCAAAAAGAAAATGCTATCATCATCATTCAACACTTTCACCACACTCACACATAATCACTGTTTTTGCAGAGGTGCTCAGAATACAACAGCTTAGAAGCATATATGTATAAAGATACACAACATATCCCTCCAAACTGCCAATATCCTGAACCCCTCCTTTAAAGTACAGGCATTGTACTTCCCATAAATATATTTTTTAAAGGATCTGGGGCATCAACTGTGGCGTGTTGGGTGTGTATGGGTCGTGGAGAGAGATGTTTATCCACCGACCTCACCCGCGCTACAACGGCTGTTATATTTCTCGCACTACTTACTTCCGTGCTGGGGAGAGCAGCTTCCAGGATCAGAACTACCAGCCTTGGCACCTGGTCCAGTATTACCGCTATGTGAGGTGAGTGTTGGTGCTGGTGGTAGGTACTGGTGCTGATGTTGATGGTGAATGTTGGTGCTGGTGTTGGTGGTGAGTGTTGGTGATGGTGGTGAGTGTTAGTACTGGTGTTAGTGTTGGTGCTGGTGATGACATTATAGGTACTATTTTGTACATTATATGACATTCAATTCAGAAACTTGAGTTCTATTCCATACAAGAACTCAAAAAATTTATTTGGGTTATAGTCTTGTAAAGTTGTAGCTACAATTTTTTTACATAGGACATTCTATTTGTGGTGTCATTACAGTGTCCAGAGTCGAGTAATTTAACCAATAAATCCTCCACAGATTCTTCACAGATGGCATAGTCGCCATGCTGACCACTTCAGAGGAGCCAGCCACTGTTGTGGCACAGCTGAGAAGCCGGGAGGTACGCAATCCACAGGTATGTGTCACAGAAGTTTTCCTTGTACTGTAAACCAAAGCAAAACTAAACTTTTTAAAAGGAATATGTAGAAGATATAAAGTTCAAGGTACACATCCTCTCCTCATTTAGTGACATGCTTGTTTACCGACGACTCGGGTTTACGACGGGCTGTCTGACCAGTATGCATACCTAAATAATGTATATGAGAGCTGATTTTCTCTATTCTGTTTATTACAATATACAGTACACTACTGTATAAACATGACACTAAAACAATATCAGACTACCTCATAGGTACCTTCCCAAATACGCTATTCCTAGCTCCAACCAACCCCATAGAAATTACGCTCATCATAAGCACCCTTAAAAACAAGGCAGGAGACATAAACAGCTTGCCTGCTTTTATATACAAAAAAGCTTCTCAAGTATTGTCACCAATTATTGCAAACGCTCTTTGACAAATCCATTGAATCAGCTACCTTCAGGAATAATAAAAGCACGAATGATGCTGTCATACACATGCTAGAACTAATATATACTGCACTCGAAAAGAAAGAAGTCCCGCTGGGCATTTTCGTTGATTTATGTAAAGCTTTCGATACAGTCGACCATGAACTGCTGTACTCCGAATTAACGCACTATGGTATAAGAGGCCACTCCCTCAACTACCTAAAATCATACCTTAGTAACAGAACTCAATATGTGTATGCAAATGATGCAAACTTTTCCACCCAACCAATCACAGTAGGAGTCCCACAAGGAAGCGTCCTTGGACCACTCCTCTTTCTCATCTACATCAATGATCTACCAAATGCATCACAGCTACTCAAACCCATATTATTTGCAGATGACACTACATATGTCTTTTCCCACCCAAACACAATCATACTAGCAAACACAGTCAATGCCGAATTGCAGAAAATATCTGCCTGGATGATGACCAATAAACTTACCCTGAATACTGATAAAACCTATTTCATCCAGTTTGGATACAAAGCTGCAAATGATCCGATTAACATAACGCTAAATGGATCATCAGTCACAAGACTCACAGAGGGAAAATTCCTAGGTATCCACCTTGACAGTAGCCTTAAGTTCCAGACACACATACAACAAATAACTAAGAAAATCTCCAAGACTGTAGGCATACTATCAAAGATAAGGTACTGTGTTCCACAATCAGCTCTCCTGGCACTGTACCATTCACTCATATACCCTTATCTTACATATGGAATTTGTGCATGGGGATCAACAACATCCAATCGCCTAAAACTCCTAATAACCCAGCAAAAGGCAGCAGTAAGAATGATAACAAATTCCCACTCCAGCCAGCATACTCCACCAATTTTCAAAAGTCTGAATCTGCTTACCATTAAGAACATCCATACTTATTCATGTGCCTACCACATACACAGAACAATACACGCAAATATAAACCATCCACTCAAACTTCTCCTCACCAACCTAAACAGGATACAAGACCACAACACAAGACACAGATCTCTTTTTGATATACCTCGTGTCCATATCACATTGTGTAAAAACTCTATGCACATAAAGGGCCCTAAAATATGGAATTCATTACCAGAAGATATTAAAGTAACCCAGTCTGAAAATCAGTTTAAGACTCTCCTCAAAAGCTACTTAATCACCCTAGACTAAACGCTAAATACTCAGTACACACTTACTCACCTATGTACTCCCACATCATAACTTCAACAATCACTTTGAACCTTTTATCCATTGTTAACAGGAATATAATTGAACCATTGTTTTCCACAATAAGCATTGTAGACTATATGAATATATCCTTTCTCTTATACAAATTTAATTCACTTATAATTAATAACCTACTGTTCAACTATGAAATAATTACTATCCTACTGTACAACTATGATATACTCCTTAGTATTAAGTAGTCTGTAAGCCAATAATGTTAAGTTGGCCCATAATGCCAGGCATAATAGAGGCTATCTTTGCATTGCAACCCGCTATTGTAAATACAAAATCTCAGTGTACTGTTTACAAAAACATAAACTAAATAAATAAATAAATAAATGGTTGACACAAACCCACTACCATTATAGTATGCTCCTCACTTGGCAACGAATTCATTAACCAACATGGTCTTAGGAACAACTCTGTTAAGCGAGGAGAGGCTGTATATGCAAAGCAGGTTTTTATTGTGACGTATTTTTTGTGCGAAGCTTTGCACAGAGTGGTGCATTTTAATGGTATGCAGTAACTGCAAATAGTTTGAGGTGGTCAGTCCCTCAGCCTTGAAGAAGTGACTGTAAAGTGAACAGTCCCTCAGCCTTGAAGAAGTGACTGTAAAGTGAACATTCCCTCAGCCTTGAAGAAGTGACTGTAAAGTGAACATTCCCTCAGCCTTGAAGAAGTGACTGTAAAGTGAACATTCCCTCAGCCTTGAAGAAGTGACTGTAAAGTGAACAGTCCCTCAGCCTTGAAGAAGTGACTGTAAAGTGAACAGTCCCTCAGCCTTGAAGAAGTGACTGTAAAGTGAACAGTCCCTCAGCCTGGCTGAGTATATGTGTATATGTCTTCTATCTTATCATATTGACATCTCACCTCTGTATCCTAAATACATCGGACCCCCGGTTAACAATATTTTTTCACTCCAGAAGTATGTTCAGGTGCCAGTACTGACCGAATTTGTTCCCATAAGAAATATTGTGAAGTAGATTAGTCCATTTCAGACCCCCAAACATACACGTACAAACGCACTTACATAAATACACTTACATAATTGGTCGCATTCGGAGGTAATCGTTTTGCGGGGGTCCACTGTAATAATAATAATAATAATAATAGTTTATTTCGGCATGATACAGTGTATACAGAGATGAGTGATATATAGTTGTTCAGGCAGAAAACCCATAGATATACAGAGCATTTTGGGCAAATAGATAGTGTATATACATTGGATAGTAACTTGTTACTTAAGTTCATTTCCATGGATTTCAAGCCATTGCGTTCCATTTTCAAACCTTTTGGTTACATTTCAGACCTTTTTATTCAAATTTTCAAGCCTTTTTGTCCAGTTTCAAGTCTTTTTTTTTGTTATACTGTCAAGCCTTTTTGTTCCATTTCAAGCCTTTTTTTGTTTCAGACGCTGATAGGGCATTATCGCATCCACGGTTCCAACGTGTCGTTGATGTTCAAGCGGCGTTCTTGCGAGAGAATGAGCAACAGAAGGAAAGGTCGCAGACGCATAGGAGGGACCACCGATGTCGCAGAGACCATCTTTCAAATAGTCAGTGGATAGTACTATTTATCTTTGAATGATGACATGAGATGTAAATCTTGGCTTGCCCGTCCACGCACCTGCCAACACCCACAAGTTAATTCACTGTTTAGCTCTGCACATACCTGACTGTCCCTCCATCATCCTCACACCTGGCTTTCCCTCCACCATCCATGTACCGGACAGCCCCTCCATCATCCTCACACCTGACTTTCCCTCCACCATCCATGTACCTGACAGCCCTTCCATCATCCTCACACCTGGCTTTCCCTCCACCATCCACATACCTGACTGCCCCTGTCATCCTCACACCTGGTTTCCCCTCCACCATCCACATACCTGACTGCCCCTCTGTCATCCTCACACCTGGCTTTCCCTCCACCATCCACATACCTGACTGCCCCTGTCATCCTCACACCTGGTTTTCCCTCCACCATCCACATACCTGACTGCCCCTCTGTCATCCTCACACCTGGTTTCCCCTCCACCATCCACATACCTGACTGTCCCTCCATCATCCTCACACCTGGCTTTCCCTCCACCATCCACATACCTGACTGCCCCTCTGTCATCCTCACATCTGGTTTCCCCTAAACCATCCACATACCTGACTGCCCCTCTGTCATCCTCACACCTGGTTTTCCCTCCACCATCCACATACCTGACTGCCCCTCTGTCATCCTCACACCTGGCTTCCCCTCCACCATCCACATACCTGACAGTCCCTCCATCATCCTCACACCTGGCTTCCCCTCCACCATCCACATACCTGACAGCCCCTCCATCATCCTCACACCTGGCCTCCCCTCTACCATCCATATACCTGACAGCCCCTCTGTCATCCTCACACCTGGTTTCCCCTCCACCATCCACATACCTGACTGCCCCTCTGTCATCCTCACACCTGGCTTCCCCTCCATCATCCACATACCTGACAGCCCCTCCATCATCCTCACACCTGGCTTCCCCTCCACCATCCACATACCTGACAGCCCCTCCATCATCCTCACACCTGGCCTCCCCTCCACCATCCATATACCTGACAGCCCCTCCGTCATCCTCATACCAGGCTTCCCCTCCATCATCCACACACCTGACTGCCAGTCCACCATTCACACACCTTCCTGTCATGTGTAGTAGGTTGGTAAAAATCAAACACTCAAAGTACCACCCTCCCATTATATGCTGCTAAAATGGAAGCTTGCTAAAAGTTTTGCACTCTGGTGGGAGTGGTGGCCTTTTCTTTGTTTCACGAACATATAAAATAACAAGTAAACCCTGCATATATGTCAAATAACATACAGTATAAACTTGTCCTGATTTTTATGTAGTTTCTCTTGTTTTTTTAAATTAGGCATGATCTTAGGCCTAGAGCAGTTACAGATTACCAGATACAGCAGTCCCCCTGTATTCACAGGGGTACATTCCGAGACCTAACCGTGGATGCTTGAAACCACGGATAGTAGTGAACCTTATATATATAAGTCATTTTTAAATTATAAACAAAAAGTTGAGAATTAGCACTTTCTCACCGATGGGAAGCACTTCACAGCTTCTCTTAGGCTTTGAAGAACTGCCACCATCACTATTTTTGTGCTTTGGAGCCATTATTAAGCAAAAATAATGGTTATTTTTGGGCCACGGTAAACTGTTGATAACAAAAACCGCAGAAACCGAATCTCCAAATACAGGGGTTCTACTCTATACACAAATAACCCACACCTAAGAGAAAGTAACTTATGACAATATTTTGATTCATCTTGAACCATTAACAAGTCACTTGGTAATGTTAATAAGTCACTTTTCTACTGGTCAAAGTCGGACCGAAATATCACCATAAGTTTCTTTCTCCTGTTTTTTATTTTTATTATCAACATTGGCTGTTTCCCCACCAAGGCAGGGCGACCTAAAAAAGAAGAAACACTTCCATCATCACTCACTCCATCACAAACTGTGGGTTGTTTGTGTATTTTTCCAGTCACGGTGTTGTGACTTTACAGCAGATGTAGCTTTTGTTTTGGAGAGTTCACTAGCTTTGATTTTTTTTTCAGGAGTTTGAAATTCGGCCTGTGAAAGAGAGGCCACACTGGATGCTGATGTGGCGGAACTACACCATCGTTTCCATCTATTATGACGACAAGCAAAATATATCGCCAATTGATGTCAGCGATGCAAACAAGTTTCCGGCTTTGGCCTTTTCACGTGTCAAGAGCTATGCATTGTTCAGTGAGATGCCCCTTGTGTGAGTCCCTCTGGTATTGGTTGGAAATAGAGTAGTTGATGAGTGGAACAGCTTGCCTAATAGGGTTTTTTTTTTTTTTAACACATTGGCTGTCTCCCGCCAAAGCAGGGTGACCCCCCCCCCCTCCCAAGAAAAAAAAAACACTTTCACCATCATTTATGCTATCACTGTCTTTGCAGAGGCACGCAGATACGAAAGTTTCGATGTCACTCTAAACATTAAATATAGCAAACCCCTCTTTTAAAGTTCAGGTGTTGTACTTCCCACCTCCAGGACTGAGTCTAGTTATTAGTACTTCCAACCTCTAGGACTCAAGTCCAGTTAGTACTTCCAACCTCCAGGACTCAAGTCCAGTTATTAGTACTTCCAACCTCCAGGACTGAGTCTAGTTATTAGTACTTCCAACCTCCAGGACTCAAGTCCAGTTATTGAAACTAAGATGTTGGGTAGCTTCAAATTTAGGTTAGATAAACACTTGAGTGAGAGGGGTTGGATTTTGGGACTTGCACATGACTTAATAGGGTTATCAAAGTTTATTGCTTCTGCAAATAAATTTGTTAAGTGGGTTTGGGTTTGAGAAGGACCTGCCTAGTATGGGCCAGTGGGCCTGTTGCAGTGTTCCTCCTTTCTCATGGTCTTATGTAGTGTATGTTACCCTTAACTTTCCTCTCAAAGCACTTGGTTGCACCTTCAAACTCGTCTTCTTTTAACGCACCGGCCGTAACTCACCGAGGTGGGGCGGCCCAAAAGGAAAAACAAAAGTTTCTTCTTTTACATTTAGTAATACAGTGGAGCCCCGCATAACGATATTATTTTAATCCAGAAGTCTGTTTGGATGCCGTTATACCTGGAGTTTACCTGGAGAGAGTTCCGAGGGTCAACGCCCCCGCGGCCCGGTCTGTGACCAGGCCTCCTGGTGGATCAGAGCCTGATCAACCAGGCTGTTGCTGCTGGCTGCACGCAAACCAACGTACGAGCCACAGCCCGGCTGATCAGGAACTGACTTTAGGTGCTTGTCCAGTGCCAGCTTGAAGACTGCCAGGGGTCTGTTGGTAATCTCCCTTATGTGTGCTGGGAGGCAGTTGAACAGTCTCAGGCCCCTGACACTTATTGTATGGTCCCTTAACGTGCTAGTGACACCCCTGCTTTTCATTGGGGGGATATTGCATCGTCTGCCAAGTCTTTTGCTTTCGTAGTGAGTGATTTTCGTGTGCAAGTTCAGTACTAGTCCCTCTAGGATTTTCCAGGTGTATATAATCATGTATCTCTCCCGCCTGCGTTCCAGGGAATACAGGTTTAGGAACCTCAAGCGCTCCCAGTAATTGAGGTGTTTTATCTCCGTTATGCACGCCATGAAGGTTCTCTGTACATTTTCTAGGTCAGCAATTTCACCTGCCTTGAAAGGTGCTGTTAGTGTGCAGCAATATTCCAGCCTAGATAGAACAAGTGACCTGAAGAGTGTCATCATGGGCTTGGCCTCCCTAGTTTTGAAGATTCTCATTATCCATCCTGTCATTTTTCTAGCAGATGCGATTGATACAATGTTATGGTCCTTGAAGGTGAGATCCTCCGACATGATCACTCCCAGGTCTTTGACGTTGGTGTTTCGCTCTATTTTGTGTCCAGAATTTGTTTTGTACTCTGATGAAGATTTAATTTCCTCATGTTTACCATATCTGAGTAATTGAAATTTCTCATCGTTGAACTTCATATTGTTTTCTGCAGCCCACTGAAAGATTCGGTTGATGTCTGCCTGGAGCCTTGCAGTGTCTGCAATGGAAGACACTGTCATGCAGATTCGGGTGTCATCTGCAAAGGAAGACACGGTGCTGTGGCTGACATCCTTGTCTATGTCGGATATGAGGATGAGGAACAAGATGGGAGCGAGTACTGTGCCTTGTGGAACACAGCTTTTCACCGTAGCTGCCTCGGACTTTACTCTGTTGACGACTACTCTCTGTGTTCTGTTAGTGAGGAAATTATAGATCCATCGACCGACTTTTCCTGTTATCCCTTTAGCACGCATTTTGTGCGCTATTACGCCATGGTCACACTTGTTGAAGGCTTTTGCAAAGTCTGTATATATTACATCAGCATTCTTTTTATCTTCTAGTGCATTTAGGACCTTGTCGTAGTGATCCAATAGTTGAGACAGACAGGAGCGACCTGTTCTAAACCCATGTTGCCCTGGGTTGTGTAACTGATGGGTTTCTAGATGGGTGGTGATCTTGCTTCTTAGGACCCTTTCAAAGATTTTTATGATATGGGATGTTAGTGCTATCGGTCTGTAGTTCTTTGCTGTTGCTTTACTGCCCCCTTGTGGAGTGGGGCTATGTCTGTTGTTTTTAGTAACTGTGGGACGACCCCCGTGTCCATGCTCCCTCTCCATAGGATGGAAAAGGCTCGTGATAGGGGCTTCTTGCAGTTCTTGATGAACACGGAGTTCCATGAGTCTGGCCCTGGGGCAGAGTGCATGGGCATGTCATTTATCACCTGTTCGAAGTCATTTGGCATCAGGATAACATCGGATAGGCTTGTGTTAACCAAATTTTGTGGCTCTCTCATAAAAAATTTGTTTTGATCTTCGACTCTCAGTCTGGTTAGCGGCTTGCTAAAAACTGAGTCATATTGGGACTTGAGTAGCTCACTCATTTCCTGACTGAATTTGTTCCCATAAGAAATATTGTGAATTAGATTAGTCCCTTTCAGACCCCTAAAAATACACCTACAAAAGCATTTACAAAAATACACTTACATAATTGGTCGAGTTGGGAGCTGATCGTTATGCGGGGGTCCACTGTATATACTAGCCTCTTCCTCCTGGCATTTTAGTCGCCTCTTAAGACACGCATGGCTTACGGAGGAAGAATCCTCTTCCACTTCCCCATGGAGGAGCAGGGGTGCAGTGGGGAAAATAGGGGAACACTGTATCAACATTTGTGGCCCCAGACTTTTCAACATCTTACCAGAAGATATCAGAAACTGCTGGAACAAGTGTAGAAGCCTTCAATAGGAGACTGGACAAGTATATTCACCAGGTACCAGATTAACCAGGCTGTGATGGATATGTGAGGCAGCAGGCCTCCATCAGCAACAGCCTGGTTGACAAGGCAAGCACCAGATGAGCCTGGCCCATGGCCAGGCTTTGAGAGTAGTGAGACCCAAAACTCGTCAAAGATAAAGGTATAAATTCTAAAGAGAATAAAAGTTACTATAGTGTGATGAAACAGTTCACAAATATTATTGAACATAGTATACAATACCAACAAGTTAAAGATTAAGTCAGGTGTGTAACAGTTTGGTATCTTTATTGTTGAAACGTTTTGCCTACACAGTAGACTTCTTCAGTCAAATATAACCAACCTGGGAGAAAAAAGTACTTGAGGTGGTCAGTCCCTCAGCCTGGAGAAGAGTCGGCTTCTTCGGTCAGATACAACCATCAACCTTGGAGAAAAAAGTACTTGAGGTGGTCAGTCCTCAGCCTGGAGAAAAGTCAGCTTCTTCAGTCAAATATAACCATCAACCTGGGAGAAAAAAGTACTTGAGGTGGTCAGTCCCTCAGCCTGGAGAAGAGTCAGCTTCTTCAGTCAAATATAACCATCAACCTTGGAGAAAAAAAGTACTTGAGGTGGTCAGTCCCTCAGCCTGGAGAAGAGTCAGCTTCTTCAGTCAAATATAACCATCAACCTTGGAGAAAAAAAGTACTTGAGGTGGTCAGTCCCTCAGCCTGGAGAAGAGTCAGCTTCTTCAGTCAGATACAACCATCAACCTGGGAGAAAAAAGTACTTGAGGTGGTCAGTCCCTCAGCCTGGAGAAGAGTCAGCTTCTTCAGTCAGATACAACCATCAACCTGGGAGAAAAAAGTACTTGAGGTGGTCAGTCCCTCAGCCTGGAGAAGAGTCGGCTTCTTCAGTCAGATACAACCATCAACCTTGGAGAAAAAAAGTACTTGAGGTGGTCAGTCCCTCAGCCTGGAGAAGAGTCAGCTTCTTCAGTCAGATACAACCATCAACCTGGGAGAAAAAAGTACTTGAGGTGGTCAGTCCCTCAGCCTGGAGAAGAGTCGGCTTCTTCAGTCAGATACAACCATCAACCTTGGAGAAAAAAAGTACTTGAGGTGGTCAGTCCCTCAGCCTGGAGAAGAGTCGGCTTCTTCAGTCAGATACAACCATCAACCTTGGAGAAAAAAAGTACTTGAGGTGGTCAATCCCTCAGCCTGGAGAAGAGTCAGCTTCTTCAGTCAGATACAACCATCAACCTGGGAGAAAAAAGTACTTGAGGTGGTCAGTCCCTCAGCCTGGAGAAGAGTCGGCTTCTTCAGTCAGATACAACCATCAACCTTGGAGAAAAAAAGTACTTGAGGTGGTCAGTCCCTCAGCCTGGAGAAGAGTTCATCTCACTGGTATGAAGCTGAAACCTGAGAATGTTGTCTTAACCCTTAAACTGTCCAAATGTAGATCTATGTTCACGTGTGTAGCACTGAACGTAGATCTGTTTTTTTACGTGCTTTCAAATGTAGAAAATGAAGGTCGGAGCACTCATGTACGTGAATACGGATCTACGTTTGGACAGTGTAAGGGTTAAATACTGTTAAGGTGAGGTGGATGATGTCCAAGATGTTGTAGAGAACGAAATCCATTAGTGGAAGTAACACGAAATCCAGGCTGAGGGACTCATCACCTCAAATACTTTTTCTCAAAGGTTGATGAACTGATTACATCATCTTTATTTCATTTCTACTGCTTCCTCTGTGTTTGACTGAAGAAGCCTACTCTGTAGGCGAAATATTTCATCAACGTGACCAGCAGTAACAGCCTGCTTGATCAGGCCCTGATCCACCAGGAGGCCTGGCCGTGGACTGGGCCGCAGGGGCGTTGACCCCTGGAATACCCTCCAGGTAGACCCAACTGTTGCACATTTGTCTTAATCTTCAATTCACATACAACCCCCAATGATTCAGTTGATGTGAACCTTGACGATGATGGTCCAGTAGCTAAACACTATTGAAACCTTCCTCTCCAAGTGCAGGTTACTTGTGTATTAAATTCTAACAAAACTTAATCTATATATCTTTTCTTTGGTATATAACACAAGAAAGAAGTGATTTAGTTTATTGAATTACAGTAATACTAAGAAGTTTTAGCTATTGACTGTAAGAAATATTAAACTTTGTAAGTTTGTCTTGCATTTACTGCTAGTTAGTTTCATTTTATGAAAGAATTGCTGAGTTGGTCTTAGACCTGATATCAACATGTATTAACAGTCCCATAAACTTCCACTGTCATGATTTTTAATGTAAGCTTTTATTTAAGTGGTCAAAATTTGATGTAGTAAGGAAGGAATTCAAGTTTTTCCTTTGAAGAGCTAATGAGCCCTTTCATAGCCAGGTGTTCGTTTGTGTGTGGCCGTGGTCGAGTACTCACGCTTTGAGTATGGATAGTATTTGCCACATTGCCGTCTTAACAGGTACAATTTTATTGTACCTAATGTTTGATTCTCTCACACACGCACGTGTATATGTGACTCAACCCCTGCAACCACAGACAAGCGAGTGTGTACACACACACACACACACCAGTAGCAACCGGTGAAGAGGCGGGGGCCAGGAGCTAAGACTCGACCCCTGCAACCACAAATAGGTGAGTACACACACACAAACACAAACACACACACACACACACCACACACACACACCACACACACACACACACACACACACACACACACACACACACACACACACACACACACACACACACACACACGAATATATGCACAAATCAAGGAGTTCCCCTTTATGTGTGTTTGTGCATCGTTGAGGAGATGTATTACTAATTAATATAACACAAACCCCCTCACGAAGAGAAGCAAACATGGTGGATTGGCAACCGAAAATGACCTCAATTAGAGGCTGAAATACGTGATTCCTGTTTTACCTTGGATTTCCTTTTCTCTCTGTGTGGAACAGTCTTCCGAGTAGGATAATCGAGGCTAGGACCCTGAGTAGCTTTAAAAAGAGATTGGTGTCGTGGGTATGAGAGTAAATTCTTGGGTAGCAGTAGTTTTGATGAGGACCTTGTATTGGCCAGTAGGCCTTCTGCAGTGTTCCTCCTTTCTTATTGCTTACAAGGGAAGGTGACAATAGCTTCAGTCATTGGAAATTATTAAAAATAGTATGATTGATTAAATATCGAAGATGGGATTTTAAGTATCGTACTATCAGTTAAATATAAAAGATGGGATATGACTATCTTAACAGTTTCTGTAACTATAAGTAATTACAGACTGGAATATCAACTATAGTCAGAGTCAAAGATTTGCTTCCACATAATTAAGTGTTTGTACAGTAATGGGTGACATACGGTTGTGCATGTAGAAAGCCCATAGCTTTTCTCCTTTCAACAAACCGGCCGTATCCCACTGAGAAAGCCCATAGCTATGCAGAGCATTTTGACCAAGCTAAAGCCTGATCTTAAGACTACAATGGCAAAAATGGGATCCACTCACATATACAAAAACATGGAGGAGCCAGACGCTTGACTCAATGCAGATCTCGCTTATAGTGTTGTGTTAGAAACTCATGAGATTTTGAAGGAATGACAAGCCAGGAAGACTTGACTTTATTTTCACTAGAGAGCCCAACATAAATACACAAGGGCCCCATTTGTATGGTCTTTAGGTTCCGAGGTAAACAAATTACTGATGGTGGAAAAAGTGCGTTTTATTCATTATCGATTGTGCCTGACAATGTGTTTACACTATCGTATATGAACCCGTAAACGGTCCAAGCAGATCTACGTTCACATGTGTACTGCTACAAAAGTAGATCTACGTTTTTTTTTACATATTTTCAAATATAACAAAAAAAAAAAGTAGATCAAAGTTTTTTTTACACATTTTCAAATGTAAAAATACAAAAAGAAGATCTACTTTTTTTACATACTTTCAAATGTTGAAAAATATATACAGTGGACCCCGGGTTAACGAACTTTTTTCACTCCAGAAGTATGTTCAGGTGCCAGTACTGACCGAATTTGTTCCCATAAGGAATATTGTGAAGTAGATTAGTCCATTTCAGACCCCCAAACATACACGTACAAACGCACTTACATAAATACACTTACATAATTGGTCGCATTTGGAGGTGATCGTTAAGCGAGGGTCCACTGTATATACGTTTGGACCGTTTACGGATTAAGTACTCAATACAGCTAGACATTAAAATAGATAACAAAGTAAATTAAATACAGAGTTCATACAATACTTACCTTAAAATATGGCACTGGTTGTCTTTCTCTTATGCAGCGGTTGTGCGAAAATGGCAGAAAAGTGGTAAAATCACAGAACAAACTGAACGACTCAGTTGAAAACCAACAAAAACATGGAACACCGAAAAGGGATGCTGAATATGTGGGTCCTCCTGTATTGAACGCCCCATAGCTGGAATGCCTACAG